TCTTGTACCCGCAGGCACGCGTCATCAAGCCCGGCTTGATCGCGCCCAGCTTCGTGCAGCCCGGCAGCCTGGCACGCAAGCTTCCGTGCTGGACGTTTGCAACCGTCCACACAGCTTGTCGCATGGACTCCCGGAGTCGATACATTGTCGTCACCTCTACGCCTTACGGCGGAGCAGTGTGTCGAAACTCCCGGAGTTGACACACCGTTATCACCTCGACGCCTCACGGCGGAGTACCCTCTCGATTTTGATATCGAGTGCGTGTCAACTCCCGAAGTCGACACGCTGTTGTCACCTCGACGCCTCACGGCGGAGAATTTATTGGTAGTGTCTGGTCCCTGACCAAACACTCCTTTTTTGTCGACACCCCGAAGTCGTTACCGCCCGCGCGCTCCACGTGGTATGACCAGAGACAGCGGCGCGAGCCACTGTCTCTGAAGGAGGTTCGGATGCACCGTTAGGTGTATCTGTTGCGCCGCGGTGTCCGAAGCGTACGACCGTACGCTTCTCCCAGTCGATAATAGGATCATGCCGTGCAAGCCACGGCATGCCCGACACTATGTCGAACTTGTCGCCCAAGTCCAGGACGAGACGTTCTTCCACAAACAACCGGTGTTTGTACGAGAAGCGTGCTCGAATTACGCGCTTCTCGGTATTCACGATGCCACCCGATGCCAATCGTATTTACAACTGACTTCGAGGCACATGCCTCTCCTCGAAGTCCAACAACGGTAGACTTTGCTGTCGAACAAAGTTGTTTGACACGCCCGAGTCCACCAACACCCGAGGAGAGTCCGCTCTCTTCGTCATCGACTTCACCTTCAAGATGACAAGATTTGGCATGTCATCTTGCACTTCGCACTGAGATTCCCTCTCACGGGGGCTGCAGTCCTCAATACTGCGTGTCCGTTCTAGACACGTGTGACTGCATTACAAGTAGGGCGTCCCACACCTACTGGTCCCATGCGTTTTTTTGTTCGACCGTGACGATACCCAGTATCACCACTTCGACCTTGGCTCGAGTGTACAGGTGCCGTACACTCACGTGAGTAGTGACCTATGTTTCCGCACCGGAAGCATCACGCGTAGCTTCCTTTGTTCTTCCGCTGTCCAACAGCAGATGCATACAAAAGCTCCATTGGTTCAGGACCTTCCATCTTAGCAGCCAGCCTAAGCGGGCGTGGCACGTTCGTGCG